AGCAATACCCATTTATGTTTGATATTCTCTAATGCTATGTACAACCTAAATAGAGCAGGAAAGGAAAAACATGCACATCAAGGAGTATCTTCTGCTACTATAATGAACCTTAGAGCTTAATAAAAATGTTAAGTTTCACTACCTACATAGACATCTTGAGTGGGTTAAAAGAAAGTATTTGAATCTTACCAGGTATGTCTGCAGTAGCAAGCATATGGCAGTGTGCTGGTGGAAAATAAGACATCGGATCTGAGAAAGGGGTTGTTTCCTCATTTTCTAGCTGTCACCATTTTGGAGTATATTGTTTTATGCATAAATGATTGCTGCTAGCTGTTTGCGGCAACTGAAGAAGTGGGAAGTGTTGTCAGAGTGTTTGTGTAGCCTATGCAAAGGTTTCAGCTGGAAACATCTTTTTTGTGGTAGGAAATCTTTGTCTTTTCTAGTGGTGTATTACATTTGTTTGCACACTCTGGGAAAACAAAATTATGTCATTTTTAGAGAACATGTTTAATTACTGCTTCATTTACAATAAAAGCAGAGTATGTTGAAAGCCTTGATTATATAATGGGAATACAAGATGATATCAATGCCTTTCCAAGAAAAGATGAGGTTGTAATTTTTGACAGAATCACAGAATCGTTTAGGTTGGAAGGGACCTCTGGAGATCATCTAGTCCAACCTCCCTGTTCAAGCAGGGTCACCTAGAGCATATTGCCCAGGATCACATCCAGACGGGTTTTGAACATCTCCAGCGAAGGAGACTCCACGACCTCTCTGGGCAACCTGTGCCAGTGCTCTGTCACCCTCACAGTGAAGAAGTTTTTTCTCAGGTTCAGATGGAACTTCCTGTGGTTCAGTTTCTGCCCATTGCCTCTTGTCCTGTTGCTGGGCACCACGGAGAAGAGGCTGGCCTCATCCTCTTGACACTCCCCCTTCAGATGCTTGTACACCTTGATGAGATCCCCTCTCAGTCTTCTCTTCTCCAGGCTGAACAGGCCCAGCTCTCGCAGCCTTCCTTCCTAGGAGAGATGCTCCAGCCCTCTAATCATCTTGGTAGCCCTAAAGGTTGACCAACTCTGCTGTAGGTTTTCCAAAACTTAATGGGAAGCATCAGTGCTGGATGGTATTGCTTATTCATTTACTGCATGAAAAATGAAGCATAACAAACTAGAAGAGGATACTAGTATAGTTTAGAGATCATTTATATTTTGCTTGAAAGACTTTTAAAATTAGCTGTGAAGACCTTAGGAAACGGATGGAAATTAGTGCTGAGTGTTCTTGCAAAATGCATTGCTAAATCTTAAAATAAATGTAAAAATCTTTAGCTAATTACCTGGTTAATTTGATGCCTTTCTGAGATAACAGAATAGCTGGTTCTTCTTTTATGTTCTGTTTGACATAAAGAAGAACTTGCCTAGCTATCTCAAACGCTTTTCCAAATAAACAAAGAATATTAAAAAAAAAAAAAAATTCCAACCAAGTTTGAAAAAAGAATTTCAGAGCGTTCACTTGTCTTTGAGAAGGAAACACCTACAGAGGGAGCAAGGAGCTCTGGCTTGAGTCTTCACGTGGAATAGTGTCATACTCTGTGAACTGCCCGTGAGCATCAGAGCTGGGGACGAAAGCAGAGGTGAGAGAGAGAGGAAGATAGCTGGGTCAGCCCCTTCGGGACACCGCCACCATCCTTGTTCTGTGGGAGAGCAGGGAAAGGAGGCTGGCTTGGGAGTGAACTTTCTCATGAAACAAGTAAGAGATACGCCTCTCGGATCAGATGGAAAGATTTCTAAAGCACAGAAAATTGGTGATAGGAAATCTGTGTCCATGACCTGCTTAAAAACGTGATGCAGAAGCCGAATTCATTTCAAACTCTTCATCTCTCCATCTCTCCCACCAAATGTATTTTTTCTCTTTGATAATGAGATGTAGTGGTTACAGTCTTTTTATTTTTTTTGTTGAACTAGAGTTCACCCAGTGAAGGAACCTTCTTATCAGAGCGTTACGGTGAAGAGCAGGTGGTGTGAGGAGCGAGTGGTGGACAACTAGCTTTCTGGGAGATTCTGTTGTTTGGCTGCTCTCCATAACAGCAGTCTTTTGGAAGTGCTGGCTGTCAGTCCGCTCTGTTCTCTGGAAGTTGTATTTTATAATTTAATTGCTTTGTTCACTGTGTTTCTTACTTTTTTAAAAATCTATTCTCTCACTGCCTTCCCTTTTTGCTGAGCTGTTCATTATGCACTAAAAAGTCTCTTTTGCATGTGTCAGTTCTGAAATCATCCTGACGCTGATGAGTGAGGGGCAAGCCTGCAGAACACCATTTACTGTTGTTTTCCTGGCCGCTAAAATTAATGTGTACCGGTTTCAACAACAGCTCATTTCTTTAGGAAGGCTAATATAGCCTGGTCAGTTCATTATACTGCCTTTCTCCACAAGTGTCAACATAACAGAAACGCTTTCATTTTCCAGACTACCCTTGGGTGCTCGAGACAAATGTTTTCAAAAGCTGATCCAGGCGTTTTTTTCTGTCAAATTGAAAAAGCTATAAATCCCTTCATCATTTGTCCTGTTAAGTTAACATATTGCACCTTAAATCCTTTTTAATATCTTTAAAATAATCAGTGTGCTTTCAACAGTAGGTACTTTATGAAATAGGTTAAGGCTTTATTTATTTATTTATTTATTTTCCCATGAGGGCATTTTATTACTGACTGCATGAGTCAGGACAATTAAAGTTTGACAATGAAATATCCAGCTTCTGATGTGATGCAGTATGAATTGGAATGGGTTATTACTTTAGTCACAGTGAAAAAACAGTTGAAGCGCTGTGTACTGTGTTACCTGTAAGACAGAAGTCTACTAGTTGTCTCTTTCTGTCTTCCTCCACTGCACTTTGTAGCATGGGGGATGCCTGCTAAGAAGAAATTCTGCGCTTCTGTATTTTAGTGCCAGTTCTGTGCCTGTGGGCAAACAGGTTGTCAGCATGGAGTTGAGTGTGTTGTCCACGGTCACATTTTATGAAGAGGCGGCTATTATGAATGAAGGAAAGCAGCCAGTACTCCTGGGTTTTGTTCCAGGCCTCCCTGGCTCAGCTGGTGAGTATATTGTTCCTATGCATTGTTTACACCGTTTTTTAAAGCTAGAGTAGCACAACTTAGCTTTTTTATAGGGACGCTTTCACTTAATTTAAAGGAGCTGTATGGCCTGAGTATAAAAAATACTTCAGGGCGAAAATCTGTTTTATTCCTGTTGGTCTTCTGTTGGCCTTTTGAAAAAGGATTGAAAGGCTAAAAGATTTAGTGACTGAGGATAATTTTCAGCAGTTGTCCTTGTTTATTAACTTCTCATTCTAACCGCTTGATTTAAGAGAACTCTGGTCAAGGTATTTGGGAGTGATAATGTTGACACAGGTCTAAGTATAATGTTACAGATGCTGTGACTCTTCTCAGTATGACTTTCTGTTTTTGACACGTGTTTCCACGGTCCACAGATACATGTATTTTCATTTGCTAGCCCTAAATTCTTGTCTTTCCTCACCTCAGGACAGTAGCGTTTAATGTTGTTAGCAGTGGGAATGGACAGTGCCATTGTGTCAACATAAAGGCTGAGGATGGTGTGATGGCACAGAAAAGCATTTAGGAAATAGTTTTAGGTATTGTCATGTTATATCTTCAGCTGCCCTGTTCAGATTTGCCTAGCTGATTCCTTTTCTTCCCTCCCCTCTAACTTTACAGTTCCCTGCCATCGTAAAGATAGTTGCCTGTGCAACAGACATTATCTGTATAAGGTGTTGGCATCCTCTAATCTTCTGTTAACCTCATGTAAAAGCGAATTTTAATTATATGCTGATTAAAATAGTGGCGGAGAGACCGTGCAGAGTTTGTACTGGTGGAGTCATGCCCGGAGAGGTTTTAAAAGTGGAGGAGAAGGCAGTAATAAGGCATGATAATTTTTTGAGTGTTAGGCTTTGTGGGTGAAGAGTGATGGAGAGGAGTTAGGGTTACCTGATATATTTTTTTTTCCCCCTACCCACGCCTTGCAAAGCATATAAGCATCCACTTAAATTTAACTCAACTTTATCACTTTGGTGAAGCTAGGCAACTGCCTGCATGCCTTGCTGTTTCTTATGCAGTTAGAGTCCAAATCAAAAGGATACTAATGCTTCACTGGTAACTCAGGAGGGTGGAGGATTAAATGTTCTTGAGAAGCCATTTACTTATAGGTTTGCAAAGGGAGAGGAGTGCAAAAACGTGTTCAAATGGAGCAGTGAATTCTGCACAGCTCAGCTGGACTATTTGATCTATGTTTAACAGACTAGATTCAATCTTACCGTTTCAAGGAGGTGTGTAAGAGCTGTTGGGCCTCAACAGACATGGGAAAGCTGTGCTGTAAAGTTATGCAAGTGGGAGGGCAGCTTGAATTTCATGCTAGTTTCTCAGGAGAACTACAGAGGAGGTGCAGGAACATCATGTCATCTGTCTGTCCTGACCATGTTCGTTGGCTTAACATGGTGGGGTAGGGGGAGGAGCTACTGTCTCCTGTTTTGCCACAGTCCGGTTCCTTTCTGAGTTTGTGCTAGGTTCTCCGGGCTAGTATTTTCTTTCTGCTGTGTGCTTATCTGACTTCTTTCCCGGCTGTGGCTTCCTATCACGTTGTTCACCAAGAAAAGCGCCCTCATTATCAGCGCGTCTAGGCAGAGGCACGGTGAGCCAAGGGTTAAAGCCAGCTCAGTTTCCTGCTCCTCTGCTTGCTCAGGTGTGCTGAGAAAGGCAATAAAGAATGGCTGATTAGGAGAGAGCGAGAAACAACTTCATGTGCAGAGCTTATGGGACTAGGCAAAATCCCAGAACTCTTCTTGTTTCTCTTCATTTATTTTGCCTTTTTTTGGTGATAATTACCATTTCTTATGGAAAAGACTGGCCTATCTGCTGCTGTTTTTTTTCTTTTTTTCCCTCTGCTGAGTCATTGCACAACTCAACAGTCATTTATGTGGCTTGTTTCCTGGATTCTTGAATCGGTTTGTCACGTACCTTTCTTCTTTCCTCCTGCATTTAATATAACTCTGCACACGTTTCAAGCACTTCTGCGCAGCAGAACCCCTTCCAGATGGTCCTGTGGTATCTCTCTGTGACTGGGGTGAGTGGAGCATTTACTAATGGCAGAATGTGTCATGCACTCAGTAAGTTGTTATTCCGATGATAACGTGAACATTGAAAAATTATTAATTTTCCTTACACAGATGCAGGCTGTGAGTGCTGATGCATTATCTTGTAGCTGAAGAGACAGAAAACCCTGTTTGCTGTTGCTTTTTCTTACGTTCCACAGCTGGCATCTGCTTAGGCAATTGAACAGCTTTCGTATTTTCTCTCTTTTATAATGCTTAGAAGGAGAATCCTTTTATTGTTCATCTTTGAATCTCTCTGCAGTCTTGGATAGTCTATGAACATGCAGTTTACCTTTTTCTCTTTCTTTTCCCTCCCTTCCTCATCACTTTAAAATTAGGTTGCTGATTTTGTTGGTATTTCAGGGACTTTAAAGAGGTTACCTAAAACTGCAATATTGCGAAGCAGTATAGTTATTTTTTGCTTGTTTTAAAAGGGTGAAAATTCTTAGCTGATATTTTTTCACATTATGGTTTGACATGTCCTTGTTTTTAGTCACAGGTTGTTTATGGAATGCTTATATTTTGTTGCTCATAGTTTGTTTTTTAAATGAGAAATAAACAGAAAGCTTGACCTTTTTTCTTTTTTTTTTTTTCTTTTCCAAAAATGTGTTTCAGAGACTTTTTTTTCCGAAGAATATGTTTCAGAGGCTTTTTTTTTTGCAGTTAAATAAAAACAATAACAACCAACAAAACAGGTTTTTTTCCTGAGCTCTGGTAGTCACAAAGGGCTTGGGGTGATGTTGTGTGGTGAAGCATTGCAGTGCCCTTACAACCTCGACCCTTCAGCTCCAGCATTTGTAAAGCCAAGATAAATGGCCAGATTCTATCCACTGAGTGTGGAGAGACACATGTGCGTCAGGATGGTACCTGCAAAAGCACACGTGAGGCTTCACAGCACAGAAGGTGTAGTCAAAGTCAGAAGAAGGGGTTTGAGAGGGGTATGTTAAGACCTTGCTCGTCCCCTCTTTGTGAAACTGCATCCCAGTGAAGGAGAACTAAAATGCTGCTGTGGCTGAAAGAGGGCTTCTCCAGAGCAGTGTCTGTAGACAGGCAAGCACTTTTGCTGGCACAGGGAAGATAGGGCAACAAAAAGCTGTGAAGAGATGGGGAGCTTCTCCTTTGGGTAGTAGCAGAGAGGTTTGATTGCTGAGGCTGTTTTGGAAACATCATTGTTGGTTAAAAGTGCTCACTTGAAGCTGTGTTGGATAGGCACTTTGATAATATAGGTATCTGCAGCCCAGTACTTACAGCTTTAGCGGTCCTGCTAAGTCTTTCTGATACTCTCTCTCTCTCCTTTTTATTTTTTTTGAACAAAATTCAGAAAATAATGGGGAGGAAGGAGAGGAAGAGATGTTGCATAAAACCTTAGTGGTTACAGCCCCAGATTGGGAAACAGCAGACTTCAACACTGTCCTGAGCTTGTGCAGTTAATTCCCTGAGAGAGTGCCCTAATTACTTGCCTGTAAGCAGGACTGAGGTAGAGGAAGCTCTTGTTTTGTCCTTCGTGAAGCTAGAATATTATGTGGCAAAGACTGGCAGGTGCATGAGGGTAGAGAGTATGTGATCCTCTGGTCTACAGGGGAGGGTATTTTTCTCTCTGTGTTCTGATTTTTTTTTTTTTTTTTTCCCCCTTCCAGGACCTGGTAAAGCGTTTTGTACTTAGGAGCCTTTGGATTAAAGCTGTGCTTCTGTGACTGGTCTTTGTAGTTAGGAACTGCTAAACTGAAATTACTTGCTATTGTAGCCCATCTTCCTCTGAAATATTGGACAAGTTACTTGAGCTGTGTGGGCTACTGTGGGTTTTGGAAAACGGAGAGATTCCCTTTGCTCACCTCTGGTGTGCTTTGATGTAGATAGTCCTTGCCTTGACATTTTACAGCCTCCTGGCTTACTCAAGTGCAGCACTTGGCGTAATCGGGGGTCAGTAGGCACTACAACAATAGAACTGATGATCAGAAATCTTTATGATACAGATTGCACATGGTGTTTCAGCTTTGTGTTCCTGTGAGTAGCCTTTAGAGTTAATGTTTTTGTTTTATGAGTACCACCTCTCAGTCTCTCCTCAAAAAAAAAAAACAAACCTAAATTAGACTTGAAGCACTGGCTAATCGTTCTATTGCTATTCATCTCCGTGGCAGCAGGAAACCTAGCAGCAGGGTTTCCATTCACAGCAGATGTGTGCCAGCTCAAATGCTTTTGTACCAAAACTGCATGTGTGGGTGTTGAAGGTAGAATGATTGGATAGTAGTGGTTGCAGCTGTATCCTTGAGAACGCAAGACAAGGGAGATCAATGGACTCTTTTCTGTGGTTTTTTTTTTTTAAATTATTTATCTCTGGAAAAGATATTTAGCAATTGCAAATCATTCCTAAAGGGCAAGTTGAATTTTTGTCCATTCGCAAAGACTGCATCAACACCGGGACTGTCTGTAGTGCTGGCCTTGGTTCTGCACAAGCTTGGAGTGGAAAACGTACTCTGAACCACAGTGAGACGTTTTGACCCCTATAGCTCCTATGTCTTCTGGTCTGCATCCAGCTCTCAGGTACAGCTTCCGCTTGTCACCACTACACTTATTGCACTGCTGCCACCCGCATTTCCTTATCCTGTGCATCAGAAGTGAGAGTTGCAGATGGGTGGCCCAGGCCACCTACGATAGCAGAATAGGTGGAAGTACTGTCATACACATGAAGCTAAGGCCACTGGCCATTTAAACCATCAGAATGCCAGGACCTGTTCTTTAGTTATTTCTAGTGCTGATCTTTCCTAGCTTTTTTCTGCCAATTAGGCTCCAGTGTCTGGAGTTGCAACCATTCATCCCCTAGTGAGTATTCACTAGCAAGTCTGCTTTACATGTTTTTTTCCCCTGACTTATTTGACGGATTGGGGCATGACCGTGTTGTGCCAACCATATAAACACAATCATTTTTTGCAGTCGGTTGGCTAAAGTAGAAAAGGTAGCTCAAGGTAGGTGATTGACTCCATACAAATGCTTAGGTAGAGGAAGGATTTCCCTGCTAAGCAAGTAGCTGACTGGACAAGTGTAAATGTTGTTTCGTGTTATGAACAGTTTTGTCACTTAACAGCACAGAAGGCTAACTGTGACTGATTAGTTGATCGCACTTAATTATTCCATGTGCTAAAAGCATTTTTTTTTCCAGAGGTTGCTTGTATTAGGGAAGATTAAACTTACCCTGGCTTTGCATTACCACTGAAATACAGACAAAAGAGAGATCAGCACAAATGAGTGCCCTTGGATCTAGATTCAGGTAATACTTCGAAATTTGGGGATGTAATTTTGCTGTGCTGCTTTTGCTGGGCACTGAGGAAGACATGAGATGAAGGCCTTGCCCAGGATAAAGTATAATCTTAACAAAAAGAAAAAAAGATGAGGCGGGGGGATTGCCAAGGAAGTACAGGGAATTTTAGTGCCAGATTTTGACTAAAGAGCTTTTTGAGATGGTACCCATCTTGCTGTCCTTTGGATGAGGAAGGCCAGTAGGAGCAATCTGAGCTCTGTTGTACCAGGGTTGGAGCTAGATCCTCCAGACCTAGCCAGGAGGGTGCGAGAACACAGGGAATGAACCCTGCTGCCACTGGCACACTGGAGTAGTGTTGGCAATGTTTGGACTTTGCAGTGGAACAGGAAGGGCATGAGCAGCTGTCCTTTCCCATCTCTTGTCTGTGCTGAAACTTTAGAGCGGCTGTTGGTGATTTATTAATCATAAATGAGTGGTTAGCACTCTCTTTCGCTAGAGGCAATTTTCTTTAATACATTTGTATTTGTTCCTGAACCAAGCAAAAAAAAGTCAAGCCAGAGCTCAGTGTGTCTGATTGTGCAATGATTTCCTAAGTCCTTTTCTTATACTGGGCAAAAGTGATGAGAGAAACCTATTCTTGAGTTTTTTTTATTGGCTGTGTTCTTTTGAAAGAAAATACTAAGCACCTACCAAAGCAATGTCTTTTAGGTGTTGCCAAATAAATGAGCAGGTTTGTTCAGTAATATATATATGCAAAAGCGTGAAGATTGTGTGATTATTTTTATAAAACTTTTTAATAACTAAGAGCATAGCTTAAAGCATTTAAAAGCTGAATATTCCAAGAACTTACTGTTTTTATAAATTATCTAAAGAAATTCCAGTTATGCAAAAACTGAATGCACATTATTAAAGCCCAGTTCAGCACAGCTTTTAGGTACATGTTCCAATCCCTACTTTATTGATGTACTTTGTTGAAGAGATGGGCGCTACTGAGTTGAGACGTAAAACACAGCCGGATGAGACGGGAAACAGTAAACAAAGCTGCCAAAATTATGGCGGACGAACACAATGAAAAGAAGATGGGTCTGTTGAGCCTCTGTTCATTTTTGCTTTCAGTCTTGGAGATGATTTACATAAGGTGTTCTGGGGTTGATCTTGCAATGTGCCTACAGAACCATATTTTGTTTAGAGAAAAATAACAAATAACGGATTTGGTTTTATAGTATGCTAGTTGTTGGCTTCTCCTCTCCCAGCATCCCTCCTTACCCCTTGATGGGCATGAAAAGCATCCCTTTGGTGGCTAGCTATTTGATAGCTTGGAAGTACTTGCAACTTGAGCAGCGGTGTTCAGGTCCTGCTGGCATCCTGGCTGGCTAAGCTAAGTAGGTCACCTTGATGGCCAGCCCAAGCATGTATGAATGAGAACATACGCAGTGCCCTCAAGCACTAGACTATGGACATGTGGGCCTGTGGGGGCTTTGCTTTTTCCAACTGAGGGTCAGAAGGGGCAGTGTGAAGTAAAGTATGTGTGTATATGCATGTATTGTTTCAGGAATGTTGAGTAAACCGGGGAAAAATGTAAATTAATAAACAATACACACATTTTGAAGTCTGAAGATTCAGTTAAACTCTTGAGCAAAAATAGTTTAACCAGATGACTGTATCAGAGCTGGTATTAAAAGCACGTCCAGAGAGTTAAAATAAGGCAAGGAAACA